CTACAGCAACTGGAGCCTTTAAGAACAGCCAGGAAATCAAAGTGAAATATTTGGATCCTGCGAGCCCCAACGACTTGGGCATAGAGTTTACTGATATAAATTATGTTCTGAGAAAAATTGAATCAGAGCTCAACAGACCATACAAAGAGTGGCTGGCAGCTTTTGAAGAGGTAAGTACCATGTTTAAACGTCAGAGGGATTGGTCAAAACTTCTTGACACAAAAACCCACTCCTGCCTAACCTAGGGGCGGCCTACCTGCTGCCTGACATGATAAATTTTGCAGACTGACTCATACTAGATGTGTCACAAACTTCTCCTTTCAACTTGCGATTCTGTTCATTTTTGTGTGTTTACTTTATTAATTAGATGTAATGCCATGAGAGCTGTGAAGAGGTGACATGTGAATCAAATGGCCCCCAAAACCATTTGGGTTGGCCACCCTTGCTGTAATTCATCAAAACTTGTTTAGCAAAGGGCTATAGATCAATTTCGCAACATTCATGTTTAAAAAAAAAAATTAAAATATAAATTTCTAAATAATTCTTGTACTGAACCAGTACATAAAAATGAATAAACTCAATAATCAAGATAGAATAAACTTAAAATTATTTTACATAATACAAAATTCAAGATTGGTCAATTTTAACAAGTTCACTGGCATTACAACATTCGCAATTCTAGCTCAATTCATAGTCACTATCACATTCTGCAATTTTATTCAATTCTACATCGATTTTTAAAAATATTTTCATCATCTAAGCTTGCTAATAATCTTCTTAAGACCTTGGAAAATCATGCACAACTTCTCAATGTTTGTAACTTTGATAAAAATAAGAATAAAACATTGGTATCTATCCACTAACTGTTAGCAACAAAGTTTAGAAGTAGTGTTAGAAATCATGTGTCTGGTATTTTAGTTGCCTCGAACCCTGACTTAACACATAGCAAGGTGTTACTTAACACGGTGGCTCTGGCAGCCAGTGCAGGGAAAATAGAGGATGCTACACTGCTCATTAGGTTAGAATTAGTAATCCTTTAAGTATTTGTACGATATAAATTTAGTGTATCAGAACAAAATCTTACAGCAATACTATTATTTTCTCAAGCAAACGTTTTTTTATTTGCTTTTAATGCATAATAAATTCAAATAAGTTTTATGCATTCAATTATGGTATGGGTTAAGGAGATACGGGTTTGAAAACTGAATGTAGTAAATGCTTGTAAAGCTGAAAACTGAATTAAGTAAATTCTTGTAAAGCTGCAATAAATACTTTTTAAGCCAAAGTAAATGCTTGAAAACCTGAAGTCATCTGTTTGAAAAGATGAAATTCTCTACTGCATTATAAAATTTCCTTTAACATTAAATTTTTTTGGTCCCATCTGTATAACACAGTTTATTGCAACATGTCAATGGTTTATCCCAAAAGTAAGCATGCAACCCTACCAGAATACAAGAAAGTTAAAGCTTAATTGTTTTTAAATAAACTGAACTGGCAAATCTGGAGCGAGAGAAAATAAAAACTTGTGAATATGGAGCGAGAGAAAATAAAAACTTGTGAATATGGAGCGAGAGAAAATAAAAACTTGTAAATCTGGAGCGAGAGAAAATAAAAACTTGTGAATCTGGAGCTAAAAAATATTTAGCCTCATGAATCCAGAATTCTGGGATAATCCGGGAAAAGTGGCACCCCTGCTGCACCCAGATTCCAGCTAAAAACATTTTACTTTACATGTATTGAATCCATTATACAATGATATCAACTATAAAAAAACACAAACATATAAACAACACAAAGCAGTCAGAAACTGATGATAAATTATCAGTAAAATAAATGTTATAGATTCTTACCCTTCTCTTCTGAGCCTTTGATTTTTTCCCTTGATTCTGTACTCCTGGTTCTTGTGTATCATCACTATCAGCATTTTCCAGATCCTCTGTAATCTTTTCTTTAACAATGTTTGGCTCCTTCTAGAAATTTAAATTTATTTTCTATGATTTTAAAGAAGTTGAAATAAAAAGAAGAATATATTTACTATTTTTTTGAAAGAATAACATTAACTTTTCTTAACCCTCTAATACCTTTAATGCCTGCTGTCACCTCATGAATTTCCATCATGGCTTGCCTACTATGCTGGGTGAAGGCAAGTCAGGCCAATAGTCTTTCAAGCCACCTAGCAACTTAACTATGATACAAAATTGATCTGCTAGAATTTATTCAAATTAATGTAGAAAGTAATAGTGATAATTTTAGAGTTGAAGATATACATTAAAAAACTAACACTGTTACATATTGGTACATCATAATACTAGCCAGCTATGGTGACCATGGTAAATGAATCTTTAAATAATGCAGTGATAGTCAAACCTCAGATATCATAATTTAAGTTTACTCTCCAAATAACCCTATTTTTTATCATGACTATACTATAACATTTAAAATCATTTTTATTGGTAACAAAAAATTTAAATAGCAATGATATCGCTTGTTTATATTTTATTTATTAATTTTTTAAAATAACATGAACATTAGACAGGAGGGCAAGTTTTTGTTTAAGTACATAAGGCAGGAGTCTGTTAAAATAAAATTTTCTGACACTATAAGTATAAGTGGATATTAAACCCTACAAATAAAAACTCTACGTTTTTATAGTCATTCAAGGCCCTCAAAATTAAATGTGTAGCTTTGCCTATTAAAAAATTCAATCATATCCTTAAACGTACTTCTTTCTTTAATGTTCTCCTACTGAAATGATCATTTTCTTCTTCTTGCCTGGCATCAAGCTCTGCTTCAAGTTTTGCTATTTGGTCTGTAGACTCCTTTTTCTTTTTCTTATCTCCTTTAGGAACAGCATTTTTCATTTTCTGAATCTGTGCTAAAGAAAACAAATTATATGTTCATTAGATTAAGCCTAATTTATAAATAACTTGTTATATGGTATAGATGATAGAGAACTCTGCTGAGCTCGAGTAAATGGAAATGCACTCTCCCACAACATAATAAATGGTAAGGCAAAGTTATAGAGTAAATGCTTAGCTAGAGTAACCTATAAATCAAATTTTGAAAAAACTTTCATTTGTAAATTAACTACTAATATTACTTTCAATTGTCAATCAATAATAATATCATGGATTGCTTATCAGTATGCTGCCTAGTCAGAAAAAAAAGTGAAGTAGAGGCCAGATTAACTTTTTACTGTAATGCTCTAACTGTTAAATAAGGGTAAATACCTTGGCTGCCGCGACCTGCAAACTTATGTCCTATATGTATCCCTAAACCTAACATAAACCTTAAATCTATCCCTAACCTGGGTTTTGACCCTATCGGAACCAGGGTTTTGACCCTATCGGAGCCAGGGTGCTTTCTCTTCACATTAGCCTAAAACAACTGTAGGGCTACGGATGGCTACGCAACTCAACTGCATTACTTAAATTGCTACTCTGGAGGTGGAGTCTGTCTGAAACCGAGCCTCACCAATCAAACTTAAAATCATTGAAGTGTCTACACGTCCGGCCCGCCAGACAAATAGTGCGGGAGATATACCTCTGGTGGGCATGTCACATGACCGCCGGACGACTAGTGGGAGATATTCTTGCGACGGGCACATGACCACCTCGCGGGGCGACTAGTGGTCGTTATATAATATGGAAGATATTATTCTGGCGGTAGACATGTCATGTGACCGCTGGACATCTAGTAGTAGGCGTTATTATTCCGGCAAGTCATGTGGCAAGTGGTCGCAGGCAAAATAGATGCATTGCATTTAATTTTCAAATATTTTGTACATATATTAGTTAGCCGATCCCTAGATAATAAATAAATGCTGAACCTATGTCAATAAAGTTGTATTTCAGGTTTAGTGTTTAGTATTGCATGAGAAGAAGATTAGGCTACCACTATATAGGCCCTATATTAAGATGTAGGGACTATTTCTTTGTGAAATATCGGCCTCCCTGCCTTAAACTTAATTATTTCTCACCCTCAGTATTATTTTTTAGCATTTGTATTTTTTTATTACCGTAATCTCTCTCCCTCTCAGCATTGCTTCATCCTAGAATGCATCATTGCTTAACCCCCACTTTGCTTTGGTAATATACCCAAGTCACGTGACAAGGCTGACAGACAAATATATGGCGCCACTTTGTTACGGCTGTCATGTGACTTGGTCGCCGGATGAATATCTTGATAAAGTATTCTTCTGGCGGTCATGTGACTGGGTCGCCGGACAAATAGTGCGGGAGATATACGTTCGGCGCACCGGACGTGTAGACACTGCCTGATAAGCCTAATACTAATATATCATATCATTATCATAGTAGTAGTAGTTAAGTTTGTCACAAAAGACAAAACACAATCACAGAGTTGAATTAAACTTGAAAGTCAGTTATTAGTTGCGTTAATATCATTACATTAATTTAATAATATATATCATACATGAGTCTGACTCAAATTTACTAATATTGACATCATTATCATTCACTGCTTGAGCTTACATTTGAATTTGAGACTGACACTGACAGGGAGCGAGTCACTTCTCTTGCAATAAAAGTAAGCCACTTGCATATTTTAGTTTAAGCAGGCCTAAAACTTAAATCTTAAAATACCTTGCATATCTCTCCTTTCCTTCTTATGTTTCGCAATCAAATCATCTTCAGTTTCAATATCCTGAAGCCGTTGTTCAATAGCATTTATAGTATCTTCAGTAGCCATGTTGAGCATTTAACTTGATAAAACAATATTTGATCTTCAATTTAAGGAACTAGTAAAGTTCTACGGTGCAAATATCTTAGTTACCAAATACAAACTATTTAATTACAAGTAGTTATTTTATTAACTTAAGCAAGCTGTTGAAATGTTTAATTGATTAAAAAAATAATAATGCAATTGCAAATTAATGTTACAAAACAAGAATAGAGTGCTTATAAGTAATATTCTTGGAATCTGCAGTCCATGATAAGAATAAATTAGCTGATTGCTTTATTGCATTTAAACACCGTAAGATAAAATAATCTTACTTCCGTAAATATAAGTGGCAAGTGGTGTTACATTCATGAATAGCAACTGATTTGTATTTATTTGGAAGATCAATTTTTTAATAATGGTAAAGACTAAGCTTGCATTAATGAAATCTCAGTACTTTCATATTTAGTACTTGGTATACTTCTCTTTTATATTTCTTTAACACTAAACTCAGAGTAAACTGTGATAACGAACTCAAACTACTACTAACTACTACTACGACTACAAGTTACTAACTTTGTCAACTTTGTGAAAGTTAGTGTGTCACTCACTCACACTCACTGTGTTAGTGTTAGTGATGAGTGTTGTGTGTAGATGATCAGACCTAATGCGGATGAGTCACACGCACTGAAGCTGAAAGAGGAGTGGGAGGGTTGGTGGTTGGATTAGATAAAAATAAATTAATTATGCCATCATAAGAGTCTGGATGGATGGGGGTTTTCCGAAATAGTAATTAGTAGTATTAGTAATACATAACATAACAAGAAATGTGACTGATTATAAATTATCATTGAGTGATTCAATCAATCATTAAAAACATTGATTGCCCTTTAACTTCATATAACAAGACATAATGAAAATGATGTTATATTTTCTATCTCCTCCTACTAGGGCTTCTTTATTAACCAATCAATAAATTGTTTAAAATATATATTTTAATGTGACTGTGCTTGCCAATCTGATGACTGATGTTGTTTATGGTAATCTTGCATTTGAGCTTCATAAATTAATGGCTATACTATTTCATTTAACTAACCAGTGATCTTACTTTAGCTTTTTAAATTATTAATAATATTAACTTGATTTTTTTTCCTGGGGAATGTATCATATATTAAACACATTATTGATAGAGCTGTTAAAATCTTTAAATACACCTGGCTTGTTTAGCATTCATCTACCAGTAGGTGGGACCCATTTTTATTGACCAGTTACACTTTTATAATCCTAATCATTGACAGGATGCAAGTGTATTCCATTAGTTATTTAATTAGATTTTGTGTTTATAGAGCATTTTGAAAAGATTTTGAAATAAATTAATTTAATATATAGTTTTTTTTTACTAATTTTGATCCAGATGTTTAAGTTTTTTATTTTCATTAGCACCACTAATCTGATCTAATTTTGCATAGTTCCATAAGAGCGAGATCGAAAATATATACCTTTTTTTTCTTATGATATTAAATTAATAGTACTGGTATTAAGCATTATTTTTAGCTTTAAAGAAGAATTATTTAAAATCTGACAATCAGTTTTTGTCTAATTTCAGTAATTTGATTAGGTCTTTAATACTGGTCTTTTCCAACTGCCAAACTAATCAAACTAATAAACTCAATTATAATTTACTTGTTGGCCATTTCTACCCCCCCCCCCCCACCCCCAATGAACCTTATTTTTCTGTTCCCTTCTACTTCTTTCATTTTTTAAAAAGATTTTTCATAACCACGGAAGGACTTCTTGACTATGTCCAAAAATTTAAAACTAAACTTTTTAATGCCGTTAATTTGGCTAAAACACATTTAAAAGATTCACAATCTAGAATGTTCATTTTTTAAAAAGATTTTTCATATTGGTACTAATGTATTAAGAAAAATGGGCTCACTTGGTAATGAGGGCATCAATTGATATTGAAGACATCATTTTGCTTCATTGACTATTGATAATATTCACTATACTGCAATCATAAAATGTAAAAAAAGGGCCTTATATAAGTTAATGCCTCAAAATACCTTCAAATAACCAACATGTTAGGTATATTTAATTGTATTGTAATATTGCATTAATTTTACTTTACAAATCCTCAGCATGGACGTTTAAAAGTTAAATCTACCGCTGAACAACTTGAAGCAAAAAGAAAGGAGCGAGAGAAAAAGCTGCAATTATATAATGGAGCAAAATCAAAGATATTTGAAAAGGTTGCTTAATGTCCCTCTTACAAATAAAATAAAATATTTAAGTACTAATTTTAAAGTGAACTGTTTTGAATTCTAACGTTTACAATACCATCCAGGAAAAAAAAATTAAAAGTGTAAACTTTGATTAGTTATTTTAAAAATCATCAATTTCTGTGCAGACTTCGATTTTTTAACTTGTTCTACTCCTGTTTAAATGAAACCAAGGACTTGTGATATGGCTAATATATTCTAAATGGTGCAAATTCAATTTGACCCAGGACAAAGTGGGACAGGCTAATGGGCCCCAACAAATCAGCCCTGACAATTGAACTCCCTACACTTTTAGGCCCGATATAAGGACCCCAAGTCAATAAGACCCAGACAAATGGGTCCCCATCAATAAGATCACCAGCATAAGGGATTACTTGAAAAGAGTCGCCTTTTAAACTTTTAATATGACAGATTTTTCAAATACAACTAGTTTGATACTACCTATCAAAAAACTAACTACCTAGTTAAAAATATTGACTGACATTTTGTAAACAAATTATTCTTGGCAACAATTATGATGTGTTATGGTTTCATTTTAGTTAAAAGATTGATTAATTACGTTCTTTAGTAATGATTATTGCAAATAAAATGCTGTTAAATTATTAAGGTGCTATTTATACTGCTGTTTATTACATTGATAATGGAACATGATAATTTGTGAACAAGACAGTTCTTTAAAATAATTTATATTTTAAGTAGATGCCATGACCTGATGCATCATTATATTAAAAAGTTTACTTTTCAATAAACTAATTGCCACCTCTGAATGTAATTGTTCACGAATAAGAAAGTAATAGCTACAGTAAGAAATTTAAAATGGTGAGAAGGATGTACCATAGTTGTGGCGGAGAGAGGGCGAGGGAGTAATTGTTAAATCTCTGTCGCTGGAGGGGATGTATTAAAGAAAACGGACCAAGTTAAAAATCCTAGATAAATAAAAATATTTTTTCTTTCAGTAATTTCATTTAATAACAGAAATAAAATATTGAAACATTTAACTCAAAATAAGTATATTTTCAATTGGAAGTTCACCAATTGTCATGGGCCCTTTTTTAGGACCAAGCAAAATTTAAATAAAAAATGATTACCAGTACATGAATTTTAAATGCTTGGATTTTTAAAAATTATGTATTGATTTAAGAAAATTTCAATTGAATTCAGAAAATAAATGGAGAACTGGATGAAGAGCTTCTTCTTTTATCTGGAGAAGTTTTAGCAGTAAATCCTGATTTTTATACTTTATGGAACTATCGGAAGGAAACTTTCCTAGAGTTAAAGAAAATAAAGTAAGTACTTGGATAATGCATTTTATTTAAAAATGATACTGTATAAAAATATTTATTATGACAAATTTGCACACTCAAAAATTGAGAGAAAAGGAAAGTATTTTAAATATCTGTAAGATTTCACTATGTTATGAAAATGTATTTGTTCACTATGTTATGAAAATGTATTTGCAACAAACAGTTAAATTTAAAAAAAAATCATTTCTTCAAAAAATTTAATATTTTTTACATTCTTAACTATAGATCAAAGGAAGAATTGCAAAAAATATTTCAATCAGAGTTACATTTTCTGGAAACATGTCTAAAGATAAACCCAAAGTCGTATGGATCATGGCATCAACGTTGTTTTGTAATGGACAATATGCCAGAGCCAGACTGGAGCAGGGAACTTGAACTTTGCAATCAATTCTTGCAGTATGATGAAAGAAATTGTAATAAAATTAGTCATTAATTATTTAGTGTAATGCAATGAATTTTTATTGCTCAATTATATGCCTTGGAAAAATTTATCTCATGCGAAATATATATTCAATTAAACTAATTAACACAAGAAAAATATGAATTCTATTTTTTAAGAAAAAATAAAGAATTATTATTATTTTCATTTAAGTTGAATTTTTTTTTTTAAATAGATTTTTTTTGTTTAAATCTAAAAAGTAAATCAATTTGCATTTTGGAATGTCATATACTTAACTAGTTCACTGCTGGGACTATCGAAGATTTATCGTGAAGAGGGCTAATGTATCCCTTGAGGCTGAGTTTGAATTTTCTATGAGCAAAATCAGCAACAACTTCTCAAACTACTCCTCATGGCATTATAGGAGCAAACTTCTTCCTATACTATTCCCTGACCCCACCCAGCCCATGGGGGTTGATGAAAAAGCTTTATTAAAAGGTTGGTAGGGCTATTCCATCTTTAAGAAGATAAAATCTGTCTATTGGCCAGTCTGCCTTGAAAATAATAATTAAAGGAATGCGCTTCTTTAGTTTCATTAATGTTATGTTTTTATTTAAAACAATAAAGTAATAATATAATATATAAAAATACAAGCTCTCAATGAGTTTCACTTCATGTTCGTCTCGATGAGTTTCACTCCACGCTCGTCTCGGGGTGTTACAGCACAAACTCTCACAGTCCACAGGTGTAGTGCATTATAACAATTAACAAAAACAGCTATGTGTTAATCAATATTAAAGTATATTATCTCCAGTGAGCTGAGTTGTAGACTGTGACAATTTAGATTACTACCTTAAATCTTTTGACAGAATATGAATTGGTGCAGAATGGCTTTTTTACTGACCCAGATGACCAAAGCAACTGGTTCTATCACCGTTGGTTAATGGGCAGAGGCAAGTTGAAACCTGATTGGGTTGCAGTTGTAATTATTCATTGATTAAGAGGCTTTGTATCAAGATGACATATTATAATTATGTTTCAATCTTAAGAATTCGGATTTAGGTTCTGAGCAAGTTTCTAGTCACAGTTGGCGCAAAATTAAAAAAAGATTAATAAGTAAATGAATCAATAGTTAAATTTCCAAGGGCACAGTCATAATATGTAATGCCCATGGGTAACAAAGGATGCCCAGAGATTATGTGCATTGTGCCTCAGATCATAGTGCTCTTTAAAATCTTTTTGGGAATAGTTTAGATGTCTAAATTGTATAACAGTTCAAGTATACGCACACTCCTCCCAATCTTTAAAAAAAAATCCTTTGTGTGATCTAACCAATCATTGTTCACTATTCACTAAATTAGATTTCCTTATTTCGAATTTTCACAATAGGTGAGCAGAAACAAGCTTTGCACTGTTTCTCTGTATCAAGGACAGATAGATGTGTGATTTTATCTCTTGTCAAACACATTCAGGTTAGAAAATGTTTCACTTGTTTGCATTGTAAAAAATGTATTTACATTTTACCAAAGTTTGCCAATTAAAATAGAACATCATTAACATTCCTGCTGCTTGTATTAAAAAATAAATTGAGTTACTTTTTTAATTAATTGGGATTCAAAATGAGTAAATACTGTGTTTTTTTTAAAAACCTCCAGGGATATCTGTAATTCAATATTATTACATTTAACTTATTTACTATAAAATTTAATGTTCATTCATTTTCAGTACTTGATTTTTGTGTGTGTTCTAGTTACCTGTATTTCACAAAGTTGTGGCATCAGCTTCTAAAACTGTAATGTATCAGCAATATGAAATGCCCAATAGACTAGACACTGAAAATTATTGTTTCAGGTGGGAAAGAGCACAGATATTATACTTGAGTGCAATAACAGTATTTTGAAAGGTGTCACATGGCAGAACCAAGAGAAGAGCACTCGGTTTTCCACTTTATGGATATCCTTTCATTCAAGTTATGTTTGTTTGTTTGTTTGTTTGTGTTCTTAGTAGTAAGCTTTAAATATTATAGCAGCCTAAAATGCTGTGGAATATTTCTTTTCAAGTTAAACAAATTCCATGACATCCATTTCCAATTGTATTCATCCAACAAAAATCTGCAAATAATCTTAACCATCACACAGAGCAGATAATGTAACCCTCCCTGAGAATGGAGACCTCTTTATAAAAGTAAAAATACTCCAAGGTGGGGAAGAAATTTGTTTTTCATCCATGAGCCTAAAAGAAAATGAAGTTAACTATAGTGCTCCTTCACTAAGCACAGGTGGAGTGAGTAGATTTAGGTAATGTGACTTTATTTTCTTTCTTTATTAACTGTTCATGTAATTCTTAAATTTAACTCTTAATAAATAACACATCACGATTCCCTTAAGGCCATCAAGAGATTTGACAACAGAAAAGGAGATGAAAATGAATCTATTAAAAATATCAACGTTATAACTGCGAGTTTCAGTTACTGTAGCAATATATTTTTGGAAAAAATAAACTTTCCTTTGTTTGAAATCATAAGTGACTAAAAACATTGAGTGAAAATATCAATTTATAGTTTTAATGATTAGTCATTATGTTGTTGCTGTTAAGATTTTTATTAAGAAGCATTTTTACCCCCTAACATTTCTGGAGTCCTAAGTTGATTTCTTTGTACTGGGTGTAATGAATATTTTAAATAAGCCTTTGCCAAATTTTATCAGTCAGGAGCTCAGTGTTGTGAAAACAGAAACACTGCAACATGAATTGGAAGCTGTTTCGCAGTTGCTAGAGATGGAGACTGACAACAAATGTGAGTGTTAACGGGGATTCGATTGTTGAAAACTGAGTTGACTTCTCACCTAGTCTCAATAAAAGAATTACTGATAAAATATTGTACAGCAAAGGAAATTTCATTCCATTTATCAACAGGTTTTTTTTATTATTCAAACTTCTTACAGGGGCAGTTTTGACTCTTGTGCTGCTGATGAAAGCTCTGGATCCTGTCCTGTACCATGCTGAAATTATGAACAATTTGGACAAGCTGGCTGTCCTAGATACCAAGCGAATAAATTACTACAAGGACTTAAGTAACTATGTGTTTCTTCTGCTTCTTTGAATTATAATTCAAAATGTAAATCCTAAATTTAAACCTATTCAAAGTTTTCAGTAATAATAATATGGAATAACCTTTTCTTTTTCTATAGCAACTATTGATTAAAGAAGTTGAACTTACATAATAGTTTTTATGATAAATGGTTCATGAGATCTCAACAAATTTTTCATTGATATTTGTAAAAATAATATTTATAAAGTAGTATTTTATAAGTATTTCCTCTACTTTTTCACTAGTGTTTCAGTTTTTTTTCCAGTTATTAAATTTTTAATGGTTGCCCATTAACCACAGATGTAATATCTCAAATATTACTCATCTCGGACTTGGGCAAATTAAAATAAACCATATTTGCACATTAAAAAACAGTGTAATAAGACATTGTTTCTCTCTTTCTGCAGAGAGCAAATTTATTGTAGAAAACATGATAGATGCACTGAATGACAGCTTGTCCACTTCCATAGACCTAAGTCAGAGGGATCTCACCAAGTTTTATCATTATGAGTTACTTCCACTTGTTATTTCTCTTGACCTGTCCTACAACCGACTAAATAATGTACAAAACTTCAACTACCTTCAAAGCATCATAGTGCTGAACCTTAACAGCAATAACTTAAAAAGCCTTGAAGGACTTCAGTATTTGCCAAAGCTAGAAAGGCTTTTAGTTAGAAATAATGGTATCCTTTTTAAAATAAATTAAAAAGTTTTATAGAATGTGAAAAATCCCAATCATTTGCAGGTTAAAAAACAACTGTTTAAACTGGAACAGTGGGACTCATCAATACCTAGCAAGTTATTTATTTATTTATCATAATTATAATTAATTATCATAAAAGCTTACTAAAGTGAATCTTTACATTTATTAATGTATCTGCTTCAACTTTTAAACTATGTGAGTAAAGTAACAAGTTGCTCACTGAGTTAAACAGTCTGTCATCTATTATTTGTATCAAATAGGGGGCATAAGGGTCTGTTATACATCCCTGAAGGCTTTTGATAATCAAGAAAATCTAATCACAACTTTGTTTTCAGTCTAAATTTATTTATCTCCATAACAAACTGCAGTCGTTGGATAAGTTTTCACTGGTCCTTATTTATCCTTAACACACAATCAGGCCTATCATCACCAGAAAGCCTCAGAGCCTTACAAACATGTCCTAACTTGAAGTTTTTGGATCTGTCGGGAAACCCTGTGTGTGAAAATGAAGTCAGCCATGAAAGCATTAGAGAGCAGTTACAAGATGTGGACATTGTCTTTAAGGAAACTTCATAGCAGTCAATAAACGGTCAATTATTGTAGTAGTAGATGTTCAGGCAAATTCATGGTGGTAAATGCAATATTAAACTGAAAACTTGAAAAAAATATAACTTACTATCACTTTCTAGATTTTAGTTACAGGCCGAAGTTGATGTCATGTTATTTTTTCCTTTGAACCAGTTAAAAAAAGTTAGAATGCCCACAATACCAGCAAAAGTATTCATAATTCAAGAACACATTTTTGCAAGTATATAAATGATTACAGTGCTTTAAGTAACTTAAAAAATTCCATTTATTTTGGTGAAAACATTATGAATGATGCTATGCTAAATATAAAATATTGAGTGATTTATGAAATAATAACTGGGGGTGTAAAAATGAGTACAAAAATTGTTTAAAATGTAATTTATTTCTTTAAATGTGAAAGCTTGTATTTGTAGTGTATGATTTCAAGCATTGCTTTAAGGAATTTATTTTTTAAATTCATACATAATTTTGCATAATAAAAATGTCTTTGTTAAATTATATTCAGGTTTTGTCTTTTCACGCCAAGGCTTTTGATAAATTAGAAATTGATTTGTTTCTTATAATTTCAAGCATAAGTTCAACCTTATCCTTACCGTTGTAATTTTTTAAGAGTCAGTGATGCAAAGTTAGTTATCCAGTTCAAAAGTGGAATATTTATTCTTGCCCTGTTCATGCTTTAGACCAGGGTTGATCAACCCAAAAGGCCTTGCAGGCCACTTTGATAGCGAGTAAACCATTTGCGGGCTGCATGTTATAACACAGAATATAAAAAAAATATATAAAAAAAAAAAACACCCATTAAATGCTATATAGAAATATTTATTTATTCTTAATGCACAGAAATAATTTAATGCCAAATAACTTATTTTTAAATAAAGATTTCTTTATTGTTTAAATGAAGAATCACGTTTATTTTTATAATTCAAGCATCTGCGAGCTGTAATATTTGACATGGCAGGCGCTGAGGGGGGGAACCCCTTCTTTAGACTGGCATATCCTTTGAAAACTTAACTAACATTGCATCTGATTGTACCGTATTAATGAAGTATAAAATCTCATGAAAAAAAATTGGAATCCTTTTATTTTTTTAAAGATGATTTTTTTTGGCATTCTATTAGATGAAAAACCATTTTAAAATAAAAATACATTCCAGTCTCATATCAAGGACTGCATCAAATGCTCATTATGTATTTTTTGTTTTGAATACAACTTGGAGATGTCTTGATTTATTTTATATTTAAACTTTGATAAGACTCTTAAATGTTTCTTATCCCTGCTGGTGAATCATTATTTTCTGGTCATTTATTTTATTTTATGAAGTTAGTCCACAAGGTTTTTTATGTTTTAAATGTAATTTTAAAATCTGCAATGTATGATTAAACTGATTAAAAATGTGAACTTAAAAAAAAAAATTGTTCTTAATATGTACCATTTATTGCAAAAGCCATTCTTATTTGAGTGCTAAATCAGAAGAAATGGTGTGACAGAAATGGGTAGGTTAAATATGTTTTGATTCAGTTGATTATTTAACACTTCCGCAGCAGAAAATGTTTCTCGGGACTTCAGATAAAAAATAAAAAATCTCACGAGGCCACCTTTTGATATAAGAATGTCATATCATCAGATTCCCTATAATTCTTTATATTTGTTTAAAAGATAAACTATTGTATATTTTATCTTGATATAGGTATATACTGTGCTATAAAGATTTATCTAATGATAAAACACTTAGGGAAGCCATGATCAAAATGAGCAAATGAGAGAATATCACCAATGACAGTTCTGACTAGTGAACAACAGTGAATATGGGAGTTCATTAGGCAGAGGATGTATGAGATGAAGGTCTTGTAGCAAACAGAGCTATCATCATCATGCCCCTTAGTCCTTGGACCGTTAAGAGCCACAGGTGACATGAAAACTATCCTCCTCCATTCATCTCTGTTTTCTGCACTTCACACAGCATCACCTAGTTTTAGCCCAGTCCACTCTTTGATGTTATCTTCCCATCTTTTTCACTGTCTTCCTCTTCTTCTCCCTCCTCTCATTGTGCCCTGCATGATTTCTTTGGCGAGCCCTTGTTTCCTTTTCACCTCGCCATACCATTCCAGTTTGTGCTTTTTTTACAGTCACCAGGAGGTCATCGTAGTGCCCAATTGCCTGACGAATCCTTTCTTTCACATGTTCATTGGAGATATGATCTCTTTAGCAGATGCCAAGAATGCTTCTGAAACATCTCATCTCCATCGCCTTTATTTTTCTTTCAAGTTCTGCTGTTAATGTCCAGGACTCGCAGGCATACAAGAAAATTGAGAGGACTAATGAGCACATCAGCCTGATTTTGGTGCTGGGGGTTATATTTTTGCCGTCCCATATTTTCTTGAGCCTCCTTAGTGCTGTTGTGGTCTGGGCAATCCTGGAAATCAATTCGGGCTTGGAGCCTTCTTCCGAGACTATTGCTCCTAGGTACTTGAAGCTGCCTACTGTCTCTAATCTTTCCTCCCCGACCTTGATTTCAGTGGCGATGCCGATGGTGTCATTCGTCATCAATTTTTTTTTTTCTGCACTGATTTGCATGCCAAGGGACCATGAAGTCTTGTCGAGACGCTTTACTAGGTTGGCTAGCTCTTCTTCATTCCCAGCCAGTCCATCTATGTCATCCGCAAAGCGTAGGTTGGTGATTCTTCTTCCACTTCCACCAATGGTGACTGTCCCTACATGTGCTTCCAGAGAATCTGACATAATTATCTCCATGAAAATGTTGAGCCGAGTGGGGGAGAGTAAGCAGCCTTGTACTCCAACCGTGGTATTGAACCATTCTCTGATGTTTTTGTTGAAGAATACTGCACGGAAGGCTAAAGAAAACCAGCAATCAGATTCTCCTTCACTGCCACTCCAAGATCTTCTTCATAAGCCACCCGAAGTGATGCAAATGAAACAGAAGCTACACAAAGGTCTCACTAAGACAGACAGATGCTAACAATAAAAATATATATAAAATAATAAACATCAGCTTTGAATGAAATTTCAGAATATTCAAATCAAGGTGAACAAAGGTTAAGATCACTGAACCAGAGAAAATTATTTGGCACTTTAGAAGATTAAGTTCATCAAATAATTATGTTTAACAATTAATTCCTTAGTTTTGTTTAAAACTTAACAAAATGGGAGTGCTTATAGGTTACCAAATGACAATGATGAACTGAAATATCACATCTAGAGAAACTATTCACTGTCAAATAAAATGATCAAATCACCGTAATTTTCAATGGTAAACCTAACTGGGTCTATTCCTTTCTATTGTTTTTATATTATGAAAACAACATCATGCAGGCGACCTTTCTTTTTAACATACATTGATGTTTCATGGGTATAGAAAGCAGTTAAAAACTCAACATTGAATTGAAAACAAATTCAATTTTTAATACACACAAAAGCATGTTAGCACAGCCTTGATATCAAGATAACAAGATAGTAAAATAACCTAAGACACTTTTAGCAAATGTAAGTAAGACACTCATTATTTATTATGCATGTTTTGAAAGAGACAAGAAGCATAAGCAAATGAAATACATTTGTAAAAAGCGTGAAAAATGACTTGTGCAAAAATCTTGTTATTAAAAGTTAACGTATTTCAAATTTAAAAATGAGATGTTATTTTAAATAATTTGTTTTCTAATTTTCTTCGCTTGATCCAGACTCTTCATCTTTCTCATATTCGTCCTCATCATGATCAGATTCCCCATCTGTGGAGAAGTAAGCAGTATACACTAAATAAGTATTAGAAGGGCTATTTTAATATAAATATTATATGCAATGTGAAAGTCAGTTAATGCTTTTCTTCTTGATCTACAATTATCCAATTCATTTTTGGTGTTAAGTAGCTTTTATGGCTTGGAAGGAAAAAAAAATGATTTCTTTATTTAACCTCTTCAACTAAATCCTTGAGACATTTTCATTCCAGAAAAAAAGCACCATATTAGTTTTGCATCAGTCTACTCTTCATTAGAGAATGAAATGAAGAAAAGCTTGTGGAAAATTAGGCTCCCTAACCTAGAGGTGTTTATAAAAATCTTTTAATTTTGTTGGTTAGTAATAGTACAATTGTTTTATAATTTCAATCTATTTATTTAAAATCACTGTAAAAAAGGGGCAGGTATACCAAAATGGCGCTTACTATGACAAAAATTGATGTACCATTTTATATATTTCAAATGTGTGTTTATGCCAAGAATGACAAATAACTGAATGAAGAAATAAGTACATTCGTAATACATGGCGAACACGGATTAGCCACCTCTGCATTAAGACTTGGAGCCTGATTTTCTTTCCGTTTACATATTATCGTCGAAAAAAACAACCGCAAGCTGTATTAGGAGAAGTGAAGTGGAGTTTTAGGGTAATAAAATTGTACAGCTGCATAGTGACTTCTGAAAATAGATTTCAAATGCTGCTTCCTAGTCTAGATCTTATAAAATATTTAAAACTCTAATTCTGCTGTGTGGCATAGTTGACAATGCAAACAAAGACCAACGCTGACAAAATGTCTAACTAGGGCAACTACACTATGTTACAGTTGACGTATCCAGCAAGTTTATTGTGAAAATACAAAGCAACAATATGACGATCATCACAATCACTACCATGCACACCCGTACTCTCCGAAGTCAACACCACACCCCTTTCCCCTCTCAGTGTATATGTAATATAATTATGGATGGCCCCCAACTAATCATTTTTCTCGGCGGTATGTCAAATGGAACTTAAACTTAGAACTGAAAAAAACAAACAAATAATTTTAATTGTAAAAACTATCGTAATATATTTTTTCAACCTGGCCTCTTAAAATTGAAGTTCTAACAGGCCTCAGCATACAATCGCAAAAGACATCTTCTTCTTCTATATATTTATTGTATATATAATTATACTATAAATTTATTGATCATCTCAAAATGGTACATTGTAAGGCAAAATTGTAAGAGTAACCAGGTTGGGAATATGGTACTAAAAGAGCAAAGATCATAGGATCACATTATGAAAAGAAAAGTACCACCAAAAAAAAAGGATGTTTTTTTATGAGCCCCAAATAATGTACAATTTATTTCAGAGTAAAAAACACACATGTACACTCTTCTTTCAGCATTTCTAGTAATTCTAAAGCAATATTTTACCTGATGATTAATTGTGTCAACTGGGAAAACATTCTTAACTGAAATCCCCTTACTTTTATTTAAGATAAGATTCTTTTATTGATCCAAACAAAAGGAAATGTTTTTTGATGTACTGTACATTTTCAGCACATAAATAAAACTATTTGAACACTAGACATCTACATTAAATTATTTCACAAGTGAAAAAAACAGCCATTCAGTGAACTCTCTTAGTCATTATCAGGGACTTAATAGTTCTCATTTAGTTTTCTGACTTCTAGGGGAGCACGCTGGTAAATTCGTACAGATTGGGGAACAAAATAATTTTTATATCTTTCAGTCCTCACCCTGAGAGAAAGAATTGATCCCGAACGGGCCCATCCTAAGTATTTGTAATGAAGAGGGTGGGATGTATCATCCAAAATGTGTTTAATTTTACAATCACATCTTTCTTCAAATAGTTCATTAAGAGAAGGATGTTTAGTTTGTGTTATGTTCCTAGCGTTCTTGATTAGTCTTGTTATTCAGTGTTTAATATCAGACGACGAATTCCCACACCAGCGGGCAATATTGAAATTAAGTAGGCTGTTGCATCTTCGCTTATGATTGAGTACTTCAGCGTTGTCTAAGGTGTATGACTGGCTCAGTCCTACACTTCCAACTGGCGGCTTCTCTCTCACATCAAAACACAAGGTCGAGTGTAAATATACAATACTTTATTACATGCAATACAAATCAGGATACTGTTACTCAATAGAATATGGCGTGTGGAATATACATCAGTGTAACTACCAACTATCCACTCTCCTAGCACTACTAACAATCAACCAATTCTTGACCCCTGTGTCTCTCTCTCCTAGCACAACTAACAACCAACTAACACACAGCCCTTTTATATCCCTACAAAACACTCAGCATACACTAATGTTCCACACCACGGACTAACTTCACGCACTGATCTCACGATCAACAACTCACAAAACACTCTCACGATCCACAACTCCCCCTACCCAACATTCACAACAATCTAGTTCACAACATAGGCTTCCAACTGTTGCACTCTTGAATAACTTAATGGCTTGTTTGTTTACATCGAAATTGTACAGATTTTTAAGTTAGAATAGTCTTTGCTTGAATTTTTTATACAGTATTTGGCCGTGCTCATGCTGTGTTAGCTTATTATTAATGGTGACATGTAAGTACTTATATCCCTCTACTTTCTCTACACTTTGATTTTTTTTTTATACTGAGATCTGTAATCTGGTGTTTCCCCCTCAGAAAATCAACAGCCATTTATTTTGTTTTTTAGATTATAGGCCACTTATAATTACATAGATCTCTATCACTGATCACAGTCCAGTTTTCAGACAGAAAAATATATGCAGGCCTAGACACAATAAAAAGACTTTCTGTTTCATTATAATTAATAAAAACAAAGATTCCTGATCTCTCTTTCCCACAGACAGCCTTGACTATGTGGGCAGCCATGCTTGGTACCAGTAACTAAGTGGTCATCGATTGCCATTTTTATGCAAAATTATTGTAAAAAAACAAAAACACTCTAATACTGTGTCTGACTATGCTATGCAATTAGTGATTAGGATTATATTTTGGAAGGCACTTTGTGGCTGGCAAATGTTGACGTACTTCAGTCTTAGAATACACTTGATTCCCATTTTTTAAGACTGAGGCACTTTAAGAACTCAGATTTAGTAAATTTTTGCGACAGGTAAAAAAAGGAACATGATTATTGGCATCGAAAGGGTTGATAACTGATGTAATTGTAATATTGAGAATCAAAATATGCTTACCAACTTTACATCTGGTGTTCATCCAGTAAGCTAAAAGGTCCCCATCATCATCATTAAGGAAGTTGGTATCCACCATGTCTGCTCAGATTTTGAAAGTATTAAATTAGCCTTATTTAATGCCACATGACAACACACAGACTCCAATGTCAGTCTTATTTTTTTTAAAGATATCTCATAATAATTATACCATGTTTTAAATCTATGTGTTTTGTTTAACTCAGGAATTTAAACAAATAAAACATATAAACTTGCTAGTTTAATGTGTCGCACGTTCTCACCCTCGGTATAGCCATATTCTGCATCTTCATTCTCGAAGAAATGGGGATCTTCATCAGGGTAATCATTTCTCCAGTTGCTTTCAGAATTACTGTCATCACTTTCATCATGCACCAACTCCCGATCAGGGTTGTTCTCATTGTCATCATTGACAAAGTCATCACACAGAGCTGTGACTGTTAGGACAGCTTCCATGTCAAGGTCACTGAGGTTATTGTGTGCATAGTACAGGTCATAAACAAATTCCCTCTCATTCTTCGGAGGTGACATTACCCTCTTGCTGACCATTGGTACATTATTAAGAGTAATTCCACAAGGTGAAAGCTGCTGTGTAAAGGTAAATAATTTAAGTGAGTTCAAATCTGTAACTGTAATTTTTAAAAATAAATTTCAAAACAGTAACAAGACAGTCATGCTGTACGGTACCTCAATTCAAAATGAGTTCTCTTAAGTAGCTTTAAATCAGAAAGAAATTTTAAAGAAATGATATATTTATTATGAATCTTACTTGGTTTATAACTTTTGAAGTATCATCTTCCTCATCATTTTCAACATCATAAATGCAAATCACATTTTCTTGGACTTGTGAATTGGGATTACTTAAATCTGTAGTTAGACTGTCATTTTCTTCAAGACATGTGTTTTGGTGTTTTGATAAATGCATTCCAACTGGTGAGGAATCCTTTGAATCATTACTTGTGATTGCATAATCTAAAGCATTGCATTTGTTTGTGTTATTTTCTTTGTTTTCTTCAACAGCCTGGCAAGATGGTTTGGATTCAGCCTGCTCGTGTTTTCTCTTTTTAAAACTTCTGACTGCCTCTTGGTCTTTGGGAAAAGAAGCTATTTTATTTATTTCATTTTCATCATCTAATAAATCTAAATCCAGTGTCCTTCTGCTGCATGTGATGCGTAATCTGTTGGCACGAGAGGTTTGCTCCTTTTCCTTGCGTAGCTCTGTTGTGAGCTCAGATTTTCGTATGGGGTGCTTGAAATGAGACTTGTGTGAAAGTAGATTTTTTTGTTTGATAGCTTCTTTAATATGCCTTGATACAGGATCATTCTGCGAATGAAAGAAGACATCAAATTCAAATCAACCAGTGGCTTAAGTCAATGTAGCCCAGCTGACAAACTTGGATCAAAATTTTAATAATGCTATTGATAATAAAATAGCAAGAATTAAACTATTAATATTTATTTGAAACAGAAAAGCTCTGCATGTAAATTATATAGAAAAGAAAGGTACTTTGGAAAATATTTCATAAGGAATGATTTTGGTGACCTGATTCAAAGCTCTAATGAACGACAACAAATGTTATTACATTTTTAATGTTTGAGTTGTTCCTTATATATTTGTCCTATAATCTGTGACTCTAAACAGTCATAATTTTTTATTACAGGTTCCATCGAAAATAAAATCCAAATTGAGTCAGAAACTTCAAAATCCTTTTTTCACATGACAACAGCAAACAGCCTTGTTTTTTAAATATTATGTTAAAATAGTCTCATTTTGAACTATTATAATTAGCCACATATAAAATATTAATTTCTAAAAGTCATCAATCAAAACAAAACCATCAGCTATTATTATAAAAAAAAAAAAGAAAAGAAAATAGTTAATTTTAGTAACAATTCGTGACTAAACAAAGGGCAATTCATTCATCGACAGAAACTTGGGGGACCTGTAACTGTACAGTCTAAAATAAGTTGACCGTCATTTATATTCAGTACAATTTTATACAGAACTCCAAACCAACAGAAAGTAAATGTGTCATGAATCATATGATAATTTATGCCCAACCAACTGCAATTTAATTTCAATTAAGTTTTTAGAAGTATATTGTAGATTAATTAGACACCAGCAATTTGTGTCAATATAACAATATAAGGTAAGCTTTAATAATAATTTTACAAAATACAAAAGTATATGTTTCGGCACATGCCTTCATCAGTACAACAAAAAGACAATTAAATAAGAAAAAATTTAGTTTACGATAATATTAATATATATATACAGATATCCTACCTAAAAAAGGGGAGAAAAAATAGGAGTGGGCGAAAAAAACAGACAGAAACAAAGTAAAGAAAAGTGGAAAGGAAGTGATTTGAACAAAATTGTAAAAACCAAACAGGAAAAAGACATGGCAGCTAGGTAAAATTGTGGATTTGGTTTATTCCATATGGAGACAACGTACCAAATCGTGTTATTAATTTATTCTCCATATAGATCCTACCTGTTGTGTTACTAGTATACAGTATACAAGTAACTGCGATGTCTGAGATTCCATCATGGTTAGGGCTATTGAAATGTTTGGAGACCGGACAGAGAGCTTGTTTACTTGTACTTATGTTATAGAGGTTTTCTCTGAATATTCAGAATAAAAGATGGCTTTACCCGCACAAGTCGCAACGTGATTTATACCATCATTTGCAAAAAGTGCTGTAAAGTATACTTAGGAGAGACAGGTCCTCGCCTTGGAGACCGGTTCAGAGAACACCTCTATGTAAACTTAATTTATATTTATTTAATTGTCTATTTGTTGTACTGATGAAGGCATGTGACGAAACATATAATTTTGTATAATCTATATTTAAAGTTTTATCCAGTCCAACACTTTTATAATTAACTAAGCATATGCATGATACAGCTTTTCTTAGTAATGGTTCTTCTCTCTATATCAAATCTTTGTTTAAGTGTAGTTTAATTTATTTAAAATCATCTTATGATCTATTAAATTCTATTTAGACTATTGTATATATATATATTTATATATAATTTAATTTTTATATATCACCTTCGAGTTAATTGTACCAGCAAAGGAAAAAATGCTTTCTATATCTGGCGTCGCCGTATGCCGTTTCCTTTTACATGATACAATGAGCGCCTCTGCTGGATCTTCATCTATTCTTCGTTTAATTCTTAAAACTGAGGTTGTCATCTTTGCCAAATTTGAAGTAGGCAAAGCCTAGTACTATTTATTATTGTAATGTGTAATTACAAATTTAATTAGTTGAAAACTGAAGAGTTGAAGATTAGAAATCATAAACATACACTTCCGTGTTTTCCGGTGCAACTTAAATTTTTAATTGGGATAAAATATTCACCCAACAATAATTGCTTTTACGATTATTTTGTTTAAAAATTCCTTTTCGGATTTATTCTTTTAAAAAAAAATGATTATTAATTTTTCTCAAATAGTGAATTTCTTAGCTTTGTCTATGTGACCTTAGCCTTTAGCTTTGAAAACGTTCTCTGGCAATATTGGACGCGAGAAACTGATAGTAGCGATAGTTTGCAGACTTTTTTCTAAATTAAATTTAAATAAAGTTCACAGATGTTTAGATATCGTTTACATTTTCATAAATCTGTTAGAACTCAACATTTTTATACACGTGATCAGAGGCGTAGGAAGTAGGGTGGGGCTGGTCTGTCCCAGGACCAGGTGGTCATATTTTCTTTATATCGAGAAAGTGGCATTTTCGACAAACTGCAGTTGTTGGGTTGTTGTTGTCATCATCAGTGGCGCTACTGCCCATGTAGGGCCCTGGCCTGCTCCACCATATCCTTCCATTCAGATCGATATATGGCTTTCGGCCTCCATTCCATGCCTTAACCCCCAACTGGTGTAAAGCCTTCTCTACATCATCGATCCATCTGTCTTGGAAACCGGTGAGATTTCTTCCCCTAGGCTTCTGCCTGTATCTCACTTTTGCTGCTCTACAATCTGGCATCATTTCAATATGTCTAGCCCTGCCTTTTCTTTTTATTGCTGCGGCTAATGATGGGTCTTTGTACATTTGGTATAGCTCTTGATTTGTATGGATTCTCCAGACATCACCCCAGGCGGTGCTTTAAATTTGAGAGTTTTTGCAACTGGAATCCTATTTCCATCATCGTTGAACAATAAAGTTTTTAATGCATCAAAGCTTGATGCAAATGAAAACAATTCCAATAAATATAATTTGGAATTTGCTTGTTTGATCATTATGGCGACAACTTGTTGATAATACCTTCCAATGCTTCCCCTTTGCCCCAGGCCCTAATCTGAAATTGTTTAAACTTCGCTTGGTTCTAGCATAGGGTGACCAAATCATGATTTGGAAAAAACGGGACGCTTTCAAAGACGGTTGGTTTTTTTTTTTTTTTTTTTTTGGGGGGGGGGGGGGGGGGGGGCGATACCCTCCAGCTAACGCGGGGTCCAGGGGCCTCTGCCGGAAACCCTTTATTGAAATATGCTCATTTTAACTATGAAATCTAGCCTATAAATCTACTTGGGGCACTCAGACTTTTCCTATGTTTCACTGAAGTGATGTGTTGTTTTATGTCTGAACGACCACCATGGCCAATACAAACAACATTATTGGAAACTCTGCACTCGACTTCACTTTCATAGCGTCCCTTTTTAATATAGTTTCATTCTTTGGAATACTCCGCCATAAACTTACATTGACGCTTGGGCATAATTATTGTTTTAATGAGAAGATAATATAAAATTAAAGAATAAAGTTCAACAGCTAAAACAAACACCTGTCATTCTGACACGAACAGGCCTGCAGGGATCACGCCTAAGAGTAACACATTACACGTAGTGGAAGTGGAATCAAAATTGTTCTGCACAGCTTCATCCCCCCTCCCCCCCCCCCTTTTTTTTTTGCGGCTTCAAGTCTCATGTCTTTCGCTATACATTGACATATAAGATCTATTGCAGGGACACTGGTGGAGGGAGAACACTGCAGCCATCACGCGAGCCCACTTTACAACTGGCACTGGCACCACAGCTAGCCCAAATAATACTTGAAGTTATATTATAAATTAGGAAGTTTTAGTGATTAGAAAATGTGTTTAGTTTGAAAAACGGGACATTTAGGCGTCCCGAAAGACTTTTTCGGGACAATGGGTACGATCGTAGAAAAACGGGACAATCCCGTTTTTACGGGACGTTTAGTCACCATATTCTAGCAGGACACCTTTTTTTGCACATTTTTCTTTTCAGTTGGTGACCCCACCTGCACCTGATGGGGTGGCGACCTATATGCTCCCTTTACACTAGTAATTTACTACAAGCTTCCCCTACCTACATATTACTAATCATATGTTCAATGAAATCAAAGCTTTTATTACCATCCTACCCCCACCCGAAAAAAAACCAACTATAAATTTTGTTCTCAATTTCTTTGGCAATTTTTTTTGTGTGCCCATAGGGGAAGTAATTCTTAAAAATTTTAAAGTTTTTTAAACTTCCGAAGCTATTATTTTTGTGAAATACGTCATCTGAATCGAGAAATTATGGCGGACATCGACAACTTCCTCGGTGTCGGTTTCTAAGGAATAAAAAAAAATATTTTAAAAATTGAATAAAAGCCATAAAATTTCCACTAATGTTAAAAATCAACAAGAAATAGCCAGAAGTAAAAGTGATATGGATGCCACGGCAAACTTAGAAGGAGCTTTTCCTAGGTTATTTTCTTTTGCATACTTAATTTATTTTACTTTATTTTTTAATACAATATCATTTTTACTTACAATGATGAATCAACAAAAATAAACACAAACTCAAAGATTTGATGTTGATGACACGGTAGTCAGTAATCTAGTAGTATTTATAATTTATTTGGTTACATATCATAAATCATTTCACATCACAGTAATTCAGCTAAAACAGGGTTTTAAACTACCTCCTAACTGAATTTGCCCTATACTTCTTACTACTACTAAGAAAGGTAATCTACCATTTTAGCATCGGTTATGAAAAAAATCCTGTTGATCTGGTTGGAAGTGCTAAATTTCAACAGAAATGTATTTTTTATTATTATTGATGTTGAGAGAGGGCCACTAGGTTTTTGATGGCATATAAAGAGATAGTGGGGGCTGTTTTATTGTTGAAGTGCCAGACAGACATGCAATCACTTTACATGTGTATAGAATGATATATCCTTCCTGGCTCACTATTTGTATCTGACAGTATAAGCAACTTATGCCCAAGTTATTCCAATTTAAACCAGATCAGACAAGGAATGCACAAACACCCCATTGTGGTCCATCAACAAAAATTTGTTGATCCAAATGATGCTGGTGTCCACAAACAGAATATTGAAAACATGTTAAAATGCGCAAAAAGCGGTAAATGAAAGACAGGCCCAGGCTGCGATCTTCTCCCTTCCTTTTTTATAAGTTCATGTTACGCAACCATTTTTGTGGAGATGATATTTTTAAAAACATTTTTGTTACATTGGGGGGAAACTATGCATTAAATTGTTTGAATTTTTATATTTTAACTATTTTGTCTTTGATTATTTATTTATGTGCTGAAATGAATATGTCCTATGTCATAAAAAAACATCATTTTTATCTATTTGGATCAATAAAAGAATTTGATCTTATCAATAAAGCAGTAAGTGTTTAAAAAGCAGTTCAAACCAGAACAACAGGATTTTTTCATAACCAACGCTGAAGTGTTAGATTACTTTAAGAAATATGGAGCCCTAGATTTATTTTGCCTGTAAGCCTTAATAATAATGACAAATTGAATGTGTAGTGTGCGACACCACACAACCAACAATGAAAATGAGTGAAAGACTTAGTCATTATTCATTGGACAATATCATATTGTAATTACTAAGACAGGCTTTTTTAGGCTAGCCCCGTTTCATTAACTTTGATTTACATACCTCATGGCCTCATGAAAACCATTCTCATAAAAAAATAGGATTGATTAGGCTATCCTAATTGTTTGTTTGTATGACTAAGTAAGATAAAAACATTGGGCATGATTAGGCAGTTAGGCTGATTCTATAAGTTATAAGCCTGCATTTCCAAATAGTATTTTATTATGGCATTATATACACATTTTCAAGTATTTAAACACATTTTTAAATAAGGCCAATAAAGACTAGGCCTGGTATTTTTTATGAGAATTATAAGCTTGAACATACTCATAGCTTTTGATGATTTAGACTTTGAGGCATTTCATATAAACTTAAAAACATGGATCTTAATTGACGAAAAATAAAAAGTATCTAAAACACCCTCATTCATCATTAACAGACTCTGGTAGGAGAAGTTCAGTTTTATTTTCGCAATGTAGGCTTTAAATTTAACATCACTTTTAAACATCTCTTAACTTAAGCTCAGGCCTGTTCAGGCTAATGTAAATCAAACAAGGCATGTAGTCTAATAATCATTGGTGAATAATAATATTTAATGATTTGTGGGCCTTATTATTATAGAGATCAATGCTAATGGGATAAAGGTTCTCTTGCCAAAGAAAAAAATTTCCTCTTAGATAAAAATAATTTGAAGATTTCTTAAGTATAGGCCCATGTCTTTAAAACTTGTACCTATAAATCTTGATATTTGTTTAAAAATGGATTATTTTATTTTTAGAGACTTACAAGAAATAGCCACAACAAGGCCTATTTACAAGGGATCATCACCATACAAAAAGAAAAAGCAACCTGACAAGCAATATTCAGAAAGTGTTGTTTTCTTAGACTTCAGTTCAATATTCAGCACATTTGGATACACAAACCCTGCATTGCGGCATGTTTGGTTTGTTAAGGACATATGTGGCATTGTGTGTGCTGTCTTCACTTGGCTGCTGATTTTGTATGCAGAATATGTTGTGATGTTTGTTATGCTGATTCATGAGTCGTCCAATATCTACAGTTTTATACATGGCCTTATTTTCAACTCCTTAGCTTTTCTGGCAATTAGTTCACATTTGAGGGCCATGTTTACAGATCCGGTAAAGTCTTGATTAGTTACTTTTTTTTCTTCTTCTTTATCATAAATGTTTTTGACAATTTACATAAGCTTTAAAGTGTAAGTAATAATAAAAAAATAATAAAAGAACTAAAGTTCTGATCGTCTTTTCCTCTATAATAAAAAATGTACAACTTGTCAGTAGTCACAATAGCAATTGTTAAATAAAAATGCATAAAATGATGAATCCCAATACTTAAAAAAAACCTAATTTCCTGGTTATTTTAATGCCATTAATAAGATAAAATATGCATCAATGCTTTTAAAATTGTTATCATAATTTTAGATAACACTGCTTTTTTGCAACAGG